CTCTGCCTCAGCTGTACCCGTGCCTGTGCCTGTGCCTGTGCCTGTGCCGGCCCCGGTGCCGGTGATCATTGTATATCGCAACACCATTACAACGTAAGAGTACAAGCTTAACCTGCGTACGTCGGTTTCTGGATCCGATGCGTATGCGAATCTCCTGGGGCTTTGGGAATAACCACCATCGGCCAAAATGATTACCTAAGAAAGGAAACAGACGTCAAGAGTGTCAGTGTCAGTGTCAGTGTCAGTGTCAGTGTCAGTCACATCGTAGCGTTCCGTCTACCCGTTCGAACGTAAGCAGCTGGGACATGAATAATAATGATTTGACATGGCTCGTCTCAATAATTCTCCATGGCCCAAGTGGAACAGTCATGTAATCAGGCGACGAGAGCCGCGACGAGATCGTCGCGTGTTTGTGTCACAGTGGTTTCTCGATGTACACCTACGAATACCTCATTACGTGTTCGTGGTCGTGCCATCCATCACCACCACAGCACGTAAGCACAGCTTTGCCGCCCGTGCTGTGGAAGTCGCTGTAGGCACGTATTGCGCTCCAAGAACAAGCTTCGGCGTTATGGATACCTCTCACGGAGATCGCCATCCACTCTCTGATGTTGCGCGTAATGCGTGTTCCGACGTGAGGCTCCTGAGCGCGGTATCGATGTCGACGTTAAGATGGTGTCGGTATTGCCCAACTCCGCCCCAAGTCGCCGTAAGGTTGGCTGGGCTTGTGCTGGCTTGGCTTGGCTGAGCCAGCAAGATACACCGGACGAGCCATGACTAGCACCCGTTGTGCTTCTTCTTTCGACTCGCTTCTCCGCTTCTTTGGTATCTCTTCCTTCGCCTGGCTCGTCTCTTGCGGCGGTTGCCCAACATGTCCGGCAAAGGCATAGCGCTTTAGGCAGACAGGTCCAGGTCCAGGTCCAGCTCTGGCCCTGGATTAGCTCTGGCTCGACATTTGGCCATTCCCGACGCCGTAAACTCTCTGATCTGGCCTTTCAAAGTGGCTTACGTCGGAGCTGCTTGGCTTCTTGCGTCCAACGTAGATTCGATGCCAATCCGATACTGCAGGGCCGATTACCGTATGTCGATATGCATGACAGCGTATCTGCCGTTTTGACGATTCCTGGGCTGTCTTTGAGTGTCGGTTTGCAGGGCAGGGCACAGCATGGTATGGCATGGCGGAAAAAGGTATCTACCTAGCGGTCTAGGCCCTGAACCGGCGTCCCGTCCAGGATACACTGTATTCCATATCCGGGGAACGACAGTTGAGCTTGCTAGGTGGGTCCCGTCATTGTGCAGGTTAATCCCCCACGAGTGCAGAGTGCCTTAGGTAAGGCACTATACTTTATGCAGGTATACATAGCATGTGAATTCAAACTCTTATTTGATCGGTGGAGGCATCCATCGCACAGCATTGGCCAATGAAAACAACGTTGGGTGTCGACTAAGGGCGTGGGACCTCCACGTCCAGCCGCATCCGGGTCTCCAAAGACATTGGTCGGGATTACCTAAGGCGCCACACTAGCGCTCAACCGGCTTATGTAACGAAGGAAACGCCGAACCCTCGACCACCACATGACAGCTACGTATCTTGGCATTTGTCTATCTACCTACCTTACCTACGCTTGGCTCAACTGGCGCCACCTCAACGTCGACGCTCTGGTTCCTCCTCGGAGCTTTCCCCTGCGGCAGCGTCCGAGAGGAGAAAGAGGCATTTGCAATTGTGTTATCGCGCCTTGCCTGATAGGGTCTCGCGCCATTCCGTCCTGTGTCGTCCGCATCCTTCACATCGTCTTCGCCTTCGCCGTCGCCATCGCCATCGCCATCGCCATCGCCATCGTAATGCGCCATCGTAATGCGCCCTCCCGCACGTACAGCGCTGTCACCGTTCGCTCTCCCGTTAGTCGTGACGAGTCGGCCGTCAGCTCAGCTGTCAATGATTTGAGTCTTCATCCTCACACTCGGGCTTTTCAGCAGTGACCACGGAGGGGAGCTTCCACAATACAGCATACTTTCATTAAGGTAATTACCTTACCTACTTACACATGGAATACCTAGGCAGTTATAGCAAGAATGAGATCGGATTACTGCGGTACGCTGACCGCCCCTACCAGAAACGGTTTTCAGACCCTGGCACCCCGTCGAGCCTCTCGTAAGCGGCTTGGGCAACCACCAACCAGAACCAGGGAGGGGGATTTCGAGATGGACTCGAAGATTCAACCGGCCAAGGAGGCATGTGAACACGATCAGCACCCATCCCGAAGATGCTGCAACTATGAAGGGAAGGGCAATGATAACAATAGTCGTGACCGGGTTGACGACGACTGCCAGAACCAGAGCCTTGCTGTTCCACACACCCCGGCACCGATCGCCGGTCCGTCGTCCCCCAACTGAGGTGGTCGCGTTCCACTGGCTGCCACCCCAGCCAGCTGAAGACGGCCCCTCCGGCACTGATGGGTGCTGAATATTGCATCACGCTCACCACCTCATCATTTCGGTCGCAGAAACTGCCGTCAAAGTCAGCTGCCAGCTGCCCATCCTATCTGTCACTGCTGCTTCCGTCCTCGCACCGCACCGGACTCGACCGCTCTGGACAGCATGATGCAGCCGTTCTCAGCGCAACGAGACCCGACCAAATCCGATGTCTTGTCCTGGCCCGTTCTCGCCCCCCGTTTCTTCCTGCGAGGTGAGGAGCGTGGTAATTTCAACAACAGCGGCAGCGGCAGAGGCTGCGGGCAGCGGGCAGCGCCCAAGAAACAACTGTCTCGCGTGGTGAGCGAGTAACGAAATAACGAGAAAGCCAACGCTCTCTTCGCATGGCTTCGCATCCGCATCGCATCCAAGCTATGCACGGCGCACGGCACGCTGCGTCTCCTGTATCCGTCCGTACATGGGGCCGGCTCACGCACCACAGGCTCGCAGATTCTGCACCAGTACGTGCCGCCGTCCACGCCCGTCCAGCATGTACATGCAAAGTCTGTGCCTTGTGCGACTTGTCGTGTTGGCCGTCGATGTTGCTCTTGCCGCCCTATTTGGCTTGGCTCTATACTCTAAATCCATTGTCCCAAAATTGGAATCCTCGGGACGTCAGTCAGTATTCAGTCCAACGAACGGACTCGAGGGCCAGGCTTGAACCCCAGGTCCCCGAGTGCTCCGGAGGGCACAATTGACACGGATCGACTTCATCTGTGCCCATCATGAAGCTGCGTTGACGTTTTCTTCCCCGGCAGCGGCAACAGGACCGCCCATCAGTGCATCATACTGGGCAGACGGGCACAGTAGTTGTTTGGACTGAGAAAAGCCTGGACGAGCATCAAACGACAGACCCCGAATGCGCTTGGCTGATTTCGTCCAGCCAGGGGACCCGTACTTCCAAACGCGGCGCCGTATGTGCTTTCGTCCTCTTCTACGAATACCCAGCTCCTCTCCACGACATACTGCGAGTAGGCAATTTCACGGTACTGCTCCAGACCAAGAGACAGAGACAGAGACAGAGACAGAGACAGAGACCGTCAAGCTCAAGCTCAAGCAGTGCTTTCTCACAATCGAGGCCATCCCCTTCCTGTGTCTTGGCTAGACCTCATCCGTCAGTCCAGCAGCGCCCATTCCAGCAGCTGCACACATCCTAGCATCATCCTGGCATCAGATCAGAGAATCATGTCCCACTGGGTCCATGGCGTCGGCTTGGCTTGGGCTGCGGCTGGAGTCGGGGCCGCTACGGGGGTCAGGGACAGGCCCAGTACGGGTAACTACAAGAACAGGAACAAGGGTCATGATCGGGACCGGGACTGGGACCGGGGGACAAGGGCCAGGGTCTGACGAGCAGAGAAGATATGGACATGGGGGTGTGTCTCGAAAGGAAATAGCCGTAAGTCAGGCCGTCAGTCAAGAGTCTTTCCCTTTCCCCCCATGAGCTGGTCGTCGTTTGCTTTGGTCTTAGGCTGTCTCTCCCCCCTCTCCTTCTTCGGCGTAGGCAAAGGAGATACCTATGTACTTGAGTACGCAATGCCTAGGTCAGGTATGGATTTCTCAACTCAACTTCCGGGTACGTACCCAGGGACCCCGTTATGCGTGAATGATCTCCAGCTGGCGTGGGCGTGCCGGTGCTGCTGAGATGGACCTCACGGTGTCTAGACCTGGGCCTCTGGGGCTCTCTGGCTCACTCTCTTTCTCTTACTCCCATCTTTTCCCCCATGCTCTGTGCATGAGGTAGTATGGGAAAGGGTAAGGGCAAAGACAAAAAAAAATGACTGATTTGAGCTGAGTTTCGGGGGCACACCCCCCTCCAATGATGTCCCACTCCTCTAGTTTCTATTTCAACCCAAATTGTACTGATGTACAGTATAGCACTGGTTTGGCTGACTATCCACGCCCCCCTTTCCCTACCTTGCCTACGTCCACGCTTCATTGATCTATCGGATCATAGGTGAGAGGTACTTGCTGGTTGGTCACGGCTTCTTCTGCTTCTGGGACCTCACCACCGGGCTCGCTGGGGTTTACAAGAACAACACCGTCGCTCCACTCGCCATCATCATTTGTTCGTTCTTCTTTCCACCCTCAAACCAGGTTCAATTCAAACTTTAACCTTTCTTATTCTCCATTATCCCCATGCCCTCCAATCTTAATTTGGCATTCGCATAGATCTCGTTCTTCGGCACAGCCTCTTGTTTCTGGTGTCTCTCGACCACGCAGCTTCCATCCGCTCAACCACATATATACGCAGGCAACCCACGCCCATTTAAGACTTGCCTCAGCCTCCTCACTCTCATCATCATCTACCTCATCAGCATCATCAACAACAACAACAACATCAAGTACTGCTGCTGCTGCTACTACTACCACTACAATAACTACTCTTTCGAGGCAAACATTAATACAGTCGAGGAACCCCGCCCAAGCACATCGATCATCCACCCGGGCTTATTCTCTCCCATCTACCGGGTCCCAATATCGGTCCTTCTTACGCCATAATATATTCCAACCTCGTCAACTACCTCACAATGGCCCAAAGAAGAGGACCGTGGTCGCAACAAGAGGATGAGTACCTCATGCAACTCGTCAGCGACCAAGGCCCTTTGAACTGGGTACGCATCGCCCAAGCACTCGGAACACGCACACCCAAGCAATGCAGGGAACGCTTCCACCAGAACCTGAAGCCCACACTGAACCACGATCCCATCACGGCTGAAGAAGGCGCCCAAATAGAGCTTCTCGTCCTTGAGATTGGAAAAAGGTGGGCAGAGATTGCACGACGTCTTCACGGCCGCAGCGACAACGCCGTCAAGAACTGGTGGAACGGCAGCCAGAACCGTCGCAAGAGACACGACCGCCGCAGAGCCAACCAAGGAAGCTCCGGCTATGACGACAGAAGATATTTCTCGCGCCCGACCCTCACGCTCAACCCGCATGCGTCGGCTCTTCCGCTTCCCAGGCACGCCATCTCTTCGCCTGTGTCCCCGACCTTCTACAGCCATGGCCACGGCCTGCCCTACTATCACCTCGAATCGCCTCTTCCCTCACCATGCTCCACCGCCTCACCGGGCAGCGACGCTCTTGACGGAGAGGCTTCTACAGTTTCGGATGTTTGCTCAAGCTATACCACATCGCCTCAATGCCTGTCGAGAGGTACTTCGCCATCTCTTCAACTGCCACCTCTCCGAAACGTCTTGGACAGCAGCTCTCAGCCCCGCTCTCTTCCGAGCTTCGGCGCTATCCTCAACGTACCAGCTGACAGGAAAGAGCACACCCGTTTGCCTTCGATGGGATCACATCTCTTGACGGCACCAAATTCACCAGTCTCGAGCAACGTCCCCTCGCCCTCGGCGGACAAGGATTCCAGGATGGACGTGTCTGCGCTGCTTGGATAGAAGCACTGTTGGGCAGGAATCCCTACTGCTTCTCTTCACCGCAACGCAGCATCCTTGGCCATGACCAATACTGTACCAAGATTGTTCGGATTATATAATGGGATTGGGGTCAGAAAAGACCATTCGTCTTGTTCTTTTCCCCTGTTTTTTTTCTCTGTTTAACCCCAGCGAGGGGACGGCGCAATGGGGAGACCCAATACATGGAGGTCTGGCATGTGAACATCTATGGGTTGGCAAACGATTCAGGAAAAAGAATCACAGCGTGTATTTCTTAGGTGACACGCACCAAAAAGATGCGGAAATCGTAATCAAACTTGATCAACTCGTTCAAACGTGTCTGTTTCGTTTCATGGGTGACGGCGACGTTTACAGAGGAATACAAAGTCGTTTTTGTTTTCATTTTTGGTGACAAACAAAAGCATTAGTTCTTCCCTCTCGTCGGCTTCTTAATGTTTACCAGCCATTGGGCCAGGGCTATAAAGTGTCTGGGCCAGATGGTCGGTTATTAGGGAGACAGGGAAAGCCATGGCGGTTAATTCAAGTTCACGGACACGTCAGCGGTGATCGGCGGGCCAAGAGTGTGGGTTTGCAGCAAGGACAGAGACAAGGATCTAAGGTACCTACCTACCTACCTGACCCTCATCAACGTGCTCTGTTTACGATATTGAATGATGCACATTTTCTTCACCCATTCCCCTTCTGAATCTCACCACGCTACCTATCATCTCCTAGGGTCCTTGTTTGGCGCATCGATTGAAACAAACGTCAGCGTGGGTAAGAAATAAAATAACACCTTCACAAATAGGTAGACAAGGCAACGGCAGGACGGAATGAGGCGGAGAACGGAGAACGAAGGGTCAGGCCGGGACAGGGCGGACCCTCGCAATCAACACGAGATGGAGCCGCGTCGATCATGCCGGACAGCCTGGAGTAGGGATATTCGTACAAAGTGCCTAGGCAAGAAAGATTCAGAGTTTCTGCGGGTATGGAAGAGCTTAGTCACGGCGGCTGAGTTGCCTCATCTCATGCTCTGTAGTAGCGGGCATAGGCATCGTTACCAAAGCAATTCATTCGTCTGATGATACTGCGCATACATCCTTGAACCGCCATCTATTTTTTTGTCAATTATGTTTTTTGACAATTCTTCAAACGAGCCCTGAAGAGCTCACGGAGCTCCTGGTACGGACGGCATGACAATTACTTTTTTTTTCCCTCTCTCTCTCTCTTTTCCGACGGACATATCGTTCTGCTGTCGTCGTCTCATCTCCACTTTCATCTTTTGTCCTTCCACGTAATCCAACCCATTTATGGCAACGCATTGGCTATGATCAATTCAATTGGCTCGTCAGCCTGCCTCGGTTGACGTTGACGTTGAATAACAACATCGCCGGAAAGGAATGTGAATGACCGGTTCCCCCCCCCCCCCCTCCCCTGCTTCCCCAAATATCTGTGCTGTCGTGCAAAATGACGCCGCAGCATGAAATACACAATACCCCGGTCTCCCACCTTCGGCATGTTCGTGTCCCGTCGGCGATCCCTGAAAGAAAGGCGGATGGCAGCAAGCTGGCAGCGAATTGACAGCGCGGCCGTGCTGATGGGATCGAGCAGGATCTGCAGTCTGCGACGCACACTTCCACTCCAGCTCTCTTTAATCAGGAGTACCGGAGCGGAGCATGGGGACGACCAATCCCAGTCGGTGAAGCCCTGTTTCCTGAATCCGAATCCACCGCAGAGGAAGGGTGAGGCAGATGAGGCATGCCGACAGCAGCAATCTTGTGTCCAACCACGACCGACGATCAACGAACCCCGTATTATGGCTGACGGACCAAGGGCAACCGAACCGAAATGGACCTTCCGACATGTAGGTACGGATAGCACGAGACCAACGGTAACCGGTCAACCGCCACCTAGGTAAGGTATGGGAATGCAGGCATACGGTGCACCTACCGTGATTATCACCATCACCATCACCACCACCTGCCTGCCTGGCTGCTCATTGCCCCTTCCCTTGCAGCCAATCAAGACAACTGTGAGCATTCGAGGCGTTGTCGTCCGAAGCACCGGCGGATGCCAGCTGGGCTACTCACCTACCTTACTAGGTATGCTAAGGTACCAGATCCTGGAGGCTGTAGGTAAGCTACTAGAGCTACCGTCGACCGTTTTAGAGAACCGGTTGTGGCCTGGGCCTAGGCCTTTCCACTTGGGTTGGCGATGCCTGGCCTGCCCTTGCCCTTGCCCTGTCCAACTTCCGTCATGACACCTCACCAACCGATGCGTCAACCGAATGTAGATCCGACAACACGGGTCGTTTCCGACCACAAAGGTCGGCTGACCGTTTGCGCTTACGACGGGACCGGACCACATTCCAGCGCTACCTTCTTACTATCACTTACCTACCTTACATACCCAGTCCTCGACTACCACCTGCAACCAAACAGACGCTCGTATCGTCATCGCCCCCCAGCGGCATTCGTCCAAGACGACGAAACCGTGCAACATGGATTGATCGGCCCTCCGTCTCCGTCCCCGTCTCCGTCTCCATTCCCTCTTCAACGTCGTCGAGCTGCCGCCCGCACTCGCCGCCGTTGTCGTCACTGACCCCGACTGCACCACCACACTGCATCACCGCCGCCGTTCGCTACCTTTCACGGCCATGGATTTCATCAGTAGATCGGATGGAAATGAAAGGACCGCGGCCGGGAACTCAATCTTCCCAACGCGTTGTTGAGCCAGGTGGCCAGCCATAACCCCACTCTGCATCAGGTACGCACATACGAAATACGGGCGTAGCATACGGGCGGAACGGAACGGAACGTACGTGCGAAGAAGCATCATCCCCAAACTCCACTTCACCGGAGAGATCAAGATTCAAAGCATCTCACCCAGTCCCTCGAGAGCATTCAAGCAACGACCATAGTCTGGAGCTCATGTTGTCATGGCCTCTCCAGGGGGCGAGGAGCAGCTTCCGACAGTTCATGTTGGCGAATTGATTCCACATCATACGCTTGCTCCAGTTCGCTGGGATCCTGTGGGCCTTGGCCTTGGCCTCTCGAGTCGATGCAACGGTGGAGCGAACGGAATTCTGCTAATGTCGACGATCATCCAGGGCAGGTGAGGGTGAGGTCAGATTACCTAGTGTCGATGAGGAAACGGTTGACGGCCACTGGTCTTGGGAGAGAGCCAAAATGCCAGACTGACAATTGACACGGGGTTCACCCACTCAGGAGAGACGATGCGAGGACGGATCTCAGATCCCACTTTACACCATTCGGGTGACCTGCATCCTGCGAATCGACAACAAAGTGGAACATGTTCGCCCCATCCCCGAGGCACTGGGCCAATGGGCATCTGTCGATCAACGGTCGGCGAGCAGCAGCGCAGGAGAACCGAGGAGATGGGAGCAAGGCGGCAACAGGGGGACACCCACGTCGTCTCTCAGCGGGAAGCCTCACCAACCAGGGGGGGGGGGGGGGGGGGGTAGCGCAAACCCATACCCCCCCCCCACCCAAATTAAAA